GGCTTTGTGGGTGCATCTTGGCGTGATGGTAAGATGTTTCTGAATATTTCACTGAGCACAAATCAGTGACATGGCAGAGCAAACTAAAGATTAAACTATAGAGGAGCTGTGGTTTGAGCCACCAATTTTATAATTAATGACTAATGATGGGTCAGAGCACTACAATGTAAATAGAAAAGATACAGTATCTAAGAGCAGAGGCATGTCATCATCCACCACTCTTGTATTTTAAAAGTTAAGCTTTGGCTCCTGGCCCAACATTTCATCAAAAATCCCAGGAAAAAACAAGTTTTGGGAATTTCATTATAAATACAAATGAGGGAATTTTCACCTCTAAAGTACAACATTAATGTGGATGTGCTGCATTATTACCTACTCTTGTTACCCCTGTTTCGTTGAGAGGCCCTGTCTCAAAATGTAGTTTCTAAGAAAGGAGCAAGTAGGTTAAATACTTCAGCTCATGGCAGGAGCTGTTTTATAGCTTTAAATCATATCACACCCCTGAGTTTGCCTGGTTGTCTTGAAACTGACAATGTTAGAATATCTCCTGAGATGTGTGCACTGAGTGGAGGCTTACAACATATATATATTAGGAGTGCATGATGATGTATGTTTGTTATTACAAGTTTGATTATTGCTGTGACATTACTGTTTGGTAAAGAACAGTGATAAAACAAAGGTTGAGTGCTGCAAACAGGGAAAAGAAGGGAGAAAGAGGAGCTGAGATTCAACAGAGAATGAACTAAATCTATGAAAAGGACTCTCTGATGCGTCATTCAATCTAAATTGCACTGCAGAAACCTACAGAGACTGAACAAGGTGGGCTGATCACCTGTGAAGACACAGGGAAAGGACAAACTGAGGTGTGAGCTCTTTGTAAAAGCAAGTGGCTCTTAGAAAAACCTTCAGAGCTCTGACGCTATAAGAGCCACACAGAGGTCTGGCTTTAATACTGTGTCTAACCTGTATTCATTCTGTATAAAAGGCTCCTTATCTTGTGTGACACCAAGCCAGCAGATTGTCCTCTAATGTCACCAGAAATGTCAAAGTCTGTCAATATTGATCAATTTCCTGAGGAAGAAATGAAGCAGGTGCTGATAAAGTATTTTACATAGGTCAATAAAGATCACATTTTGACACGGTTCCTTGAGGATAAGGCCTTGATTCTTAATTCTTGACACGGAGTCTGAGAGTGCGCTTTCTTTCTGGGTTTCCAGGTACTGTAATTAATTGCATTTAGTTGAAACCAGCTGACTGAAACGAATCAGCCTGTTCATCTGAGCCATGGGTGCCATGGGTGATGAAAGTGGTGCAAGCTGAATTTCTTAATTAATTTTTGCTTAAATTTTCTCAAAATTGTTAAACTCAGCTCTTCAGAGCCCCCCACCCCCGTTGTACCAGTGTCAGGTTCATGAGTCAACAATAAAAAAAGTTCTTACTTTACAAATAACTTGGTGATGCAATCCAGAACTTTTCTCTTGAAGGAGGCTGAACTGAAACATTGGTTTTTAAAACGTTATTAAAAAGACTGTAACTTCATTATGAGTGCACCTCCTGTCTTAAGACTGGTGCACGTTCTTGGCAGCAGAATAACACTACAGCAAAACCCAGTGTGATTTTTTTTTTTTTTATGGCTAAATGCAAATTGTAAGGCTCGCAGATATAATACCAGAAGATAAGTAATGATCGTAACTCAAAGTCCACTTGCTAGATTTTTCTGGAGCTTTCAAACTGGTTCAGTGATCATTAAGTGAATGCATCATATTGGTGTTGACTGTTGGGTTAATGGACTCTATCCACATAGAAATACTGTATGTAAGCCCTGCGCACAATGGTGAGACAAAACAAAGGTCAAATTAGTACAATGTTTTCTTTAATTTCAGAACTTTAATTATTAGTCGCATTGCAGATGAGAAATGTATCATTTCCAGTCAATACATTCTACAGGATTGATGTATAACTGCTCAATATTTTAAATGATTTCAGAATAATATTGATTACTGAAGGCGCGGTGCCTGGGTTTTACATTGGCAGCCCTCTGCCACGAGCCCTTTCTCATGTTTGAGGAGAAAATCATGTCCCACTGCCACGTGTGAGCACAGAGAGTCACAGCATATATTACTTTGGGTTTGTCTGTTCTCACAAACAAGCTCTCATATAAATAATCAGAAATAAGCAGAGAGAAATGTTGTGCAGGTCAATAAGAAATAGTGACCACGGTCAGCGTACACTGCATCTGCTTCTAATCCTCCCCGGGTGTGTGGGCGTTTGAATGTGTGTGTGTGTGTGCTTGTGCATCTATGGATACTATTGGTTCTTTTTATGGTTTTAAGGGTCTGGGAGTTTTCACACATACTGTGCTTTTGTGCGTGTGTGTGTGTGTGTGTGTGTGTTTAGCCACTGATACAATATAAAAAGTCATACTTGTGTTGGAGATGCTGGGGGGTTGTGTCACTCACACCTCTACATCCACACTTAAAGAATCAATCTGCAACCTTTCAGCACAACTATTTTGGGAATTCAAATAGAAAAGGGTCTCTTGACCTTTTTTAATGTCACAGCACATGCAGACGGCACACAGTATACACTACTGCAAATCACTGATGGCTGTGAAATGCCATGCACCGCAAGTCGGTAATGAGGTAGGATCACAGCAGAGGAGGCAGCGAAATATCCACAGTGACTGACGATGGGATAAACTGGAGTAGGATTAATGCTGTGCAGCACGGCACGGTGTTCAGTCAACCCTCTGAGGATAAGCAAAGGTTATAAAAATGTGTAAATGCGGTTGCTGTGGAGAGGACGAGTTTGGGAATGAGACTTTTAGGCACAGGGGGGCTGCAACTACATCATTATTAGGGATGGGGTTCAATAGGACTTTATCCAATCTGAATCCAGGTCCCAGTGGATTATCGACTCCAAATCCTTTCAAATCCCTCAATATATTTGTTTAAGTAGCTTATTAGTTTTAAACAATGTTATTTTTTTCTGGCAGTGCAGCAACAAAAACTAATTTAATCTGTTTTGTGTAAAAATAAATGACTGCTTTTAAGAATCTAGTTTATTCTAACCATGTTAATAATTCACCATGTACAGCGAAGCATGACCTGAATGCAAACACATATGATGGCACATCAGTAAGAAAGACACACACGGGCAAGCACACCCAAAATCACAGTGGCAGATAAATCACTGAGTTGGCCACAGACACACCAGGCTCGAGAGTAATGGAGGTCTGAGCGGCATAGTTGGTTGACTTCATCTGTTTCCTATCACACTGGAACAGGTCTGAGCTCTGGTGTGTCCACACACACACACACAGAGGCTGGTCACAGTGTGAATGTGTGTGTTAGTGAATGAGTTACAATTTAAATGGAATGGTTAGAGGCAGTGTGCGAGACACTGGGGGGCTCAGACCCCCTGACTGACAGGTCGGACCCCATGAAAATCTCAAAATGAAATTTCACAGGGGTCTCGGAATTATTTTCTATTTATCTACACAATACAATTTATTTGCATGTAACTTTGTAAATGTTTGTTTATACAATACAATAAAAATACATTGTCATCACTGTGTTTATGGTATTGTACCAAAGCGAACCTCTACCTGTAACAGATTACGGTCCACTGGAGGCTGTTAAGGGAAACAGGCATCGCCCGCTTTATCCACACCTACAGCTTTTGTCAGGATCAAACTGTAAAATACAAAAATTAGACACAACATAGGCTATATCCCCCCGTGGTAGTAACAAAGGTCTTTAATAAACTTGGCCATGTGAGGAAACTGTAACTGAGTAGTGAGTGACAGCCGTGCACAGTGTCAATGTCTGACTGATCTGCAGGACATCTGGCACTTCTGCAGGGTATTTGTCATTTACCATGGCTCCAGTTGCTTCTATCTGTTACAGTATTTTGTGTGCACACAGGTAAAAGGCACCGAGAAGCATAGAAAAGGATCATCTGCTTCCACTTGTTTCAAGATAAACCTACAAGAGCACTGGATATGAGCAACATTTAATTAGTATCACTTGTTTGAAAAAGAAGATTATGTGGAAGTCCGAACAGTGTTTTGGCATCAAAGACGGAAATATTCTTATAAAAAACAGAAACAACAAAAACATAAAAGGGAGAGAGGGCAGAGGAGACGGTGAGATGAGAAGTGACAATTTTAGAAGAAACAGATTGTTAATTTCAATGTTTTTAAAAGGAATACTTACCAAAACCCACATACATGGCCAAAATATTACACCTACATGTGGCTGTATCATTTCAAAATCATGCACATTAATCTGTTTCTGCAACAGCCTGCACATTTATGGGTCTAGGCTCAGTTTGCTCTTGTTTGATGCCTAGTTCACACTTAGATGTTGGATGAATATCAGAGGAAAGGTTACCACCCAGCGCATCACATGACAGAGTCTATCTGTAGAGAGAGACGATGAGAGGATGACCAGGGGACAAGCTGTGGAGAAAGCAAAGGAGGCATTTGATTTGTGAAAATGCTCTAATGGCTAATTACTGGTGGTGATGCACTAGCAGCGAAAACAATGGAAATGAGCAAGTATTTTAACAGCATCCCTTTGTGCTGCCGCTACTCGTTTTTGGCTTGTTGCAGTTCTCAGTGATGTAGGTACTTTGTTTACTGCTGGTCTGTGATTTTAAAACTGATAATAAAATGAACCCTATGAAATAAGAATGCCCCTTTTTTTAAACCATAACACATTTCTTTTCTCTATAAAATGTGTTTTCCTTTATGTCCAATTTTCCATCACAGCAGTTAATTCGGTTGGCTGGTTAATTCACACTCACTCGTATTTTACGTGTTTCTTCTTTTTGTACACAGGTAGCGTGTTACACGTTAACCAGAGCCAATGTGAGCTTGAAACCATTCTAATTTAATGAGAAGAACTTTTTTTAATGGACGAGGTGTTGTGACTGCCTCTGGAGCACTGCTAACATGGCTGATGTCATTAAATTGCGTTTATCCCATCTCTCTGCAGGTACTATGCTATCTGCTGCCAGCCTCTGGTCTACCGGAACAAGATGACGCCAATGCGAGTGGCTCTGATGATCAGCGGCTGCTGGGTCATTCCAACCTTTATCTCTTTCCTGCCCATTATGCAGGGCTGGAACAGCATCGGCATCAGCGACCTGGTGAGCACTCCTGTGTGTGTGTGGGTGTGTGTGTGTGTGTGTTCACCAGGGGAAGAGTTCGTAAAGAAGCCTGGGTTGGCTTAATATGGAGATGGAGCAAAATCATTTTACATTTTCCACTGGATTGCAAGTTCATGTTGGTAACAGCTTTTAAATGAAAATGCTGGAGTTGCCTGAAGGGAAGAAAAAGAAAAGCACAACAATGAGAAAAAGTCAGAAAGCTGAACAAAACATGCTTTACATAAACAGTTAGTGTCCACATGCACTGAAAGACAAACTGTAGTCCAGGGGGGCATCGTTTATGAGAAGGAAGAAATGCTCTGTTGCTATGGGAACAACATCAACATGTCAGACACAGAGACGGGGGGACCAGGCCGCTGACACCACAGACGTGGAGTCCAGCTGTTTTTTTTACTTCACTCAAAAAATGTAAAGTTGCACAATGGGGTTTGTTTAATGTCAAATAAGATGCAAGCTTAGAACAGAGAAACAGGCAGAGGACGACAGTCTGGTGGTGAAACTGAGACAAAGAAAAAAGAAAAGGACACAAGCTGTTTGGGGTCAGGATGAATCTGAGGGAGAAATGAACCGAATGAATGTATATGAAATAAAGGAGCTCAAAGGGTCATTCTTGACCGTGGAGCTTCATGCGGGGTCCATAGCTCTGTGTTTCTGTGGGCGTCCTCAGTGGACAGAGATGCTACATTGCAGCTCAGTCCAAAGAAATGCAGATAGAAGCTTTTCTGACCTCTCTCTCATTAAATTCAACTCAACTCAACTCAACTTTATTTATATAGTGCTTTACCACAGCGCAGCTGACCAAAGCACTTAACATATCGTACAAATATAAAAAAAACAACACATAAAAAGCTATAAACAGTAATATAAACACTAACACTACAGACAGAGTCTCATTCCTGGTCAAACGCCAATGAATACAAGTATGTCTTCAAATAAGACTTAAAAGTAGACAGTGAGGGGGCCTGCCTAACATAAAGCGGCAACGCACTCCATAGGTTTGGACCCACCACAGCAAAGGCTCTATCCCCCCCTAGTTTTCCGCCTGGCCCTCGGTGCCTCCAGAAGAAGCTGATCTAAGGCACCGCGACGGGTTATACGGTCATAAAAGTTCCACCAGATAAGATGGTGCCAGCCCATTTAAGGATTTATAAACAAATAAAAGAATCTTAAAACGAACCCTAAAACGCACCGGAAGCCAGTGAAGAGATGCCAGTACTGGCGTTATGTGGTCACTCTTACGCCCCCCAACCAATAACTGTGCGGCAGCATTCTCGCCCCTCTGGAGGCGGGCAAGCCCCGATTGACCAACTCCAGCGTACAGTGCATTACAGTAATCCAAGCGTGATGTAACAAACGCCAGGATCACTGGAATGGAACCCACACAGGCACAAGGAGAACATGCAAACTCCGCAGAGAATGTTCTTATTTCCAGATATTCGTTATGCTTAATTTTACAATCCAATTTTAAACCTAATATAAGCTGTTTTATAACAAAATTACTTTTTGGCTTATTACTTGGCTTTGTTCAATAACTTCCTCATCTCCTGACCAAGAATTAGTCTGTGACATAACTGCTCATAAAATGGCAAAATGTTTTTACATGTCAGTTTTTATATGGATAAACAAACATAATATGTATATTAATCAGAGGTGATGGTAGAAGATATGGAATTTTTTTGGATAGACCTGGTTTCTACTTGTCTCCAGGCTTTGTGCTGAGGTAAGTTAGCCATCTGCTCCCTGTGGCTTCATATTTTCCATACAAATTGAATTGTATCAATCTTCTTACCTGCTACCAAGAAAGAGGGTAAGCATATTTCTCATAATGTCAAAGAATTTCTTCAAAACACTTTTATAAATACGCCTGTGCTGTTATTGTATGTGGGGAGTAAAATGAGCTACCTTGAAATTGATAGAAACTTGTCAGAAGCATGAAATCTTTTAGAAACTATTATCTAAGTAGTATTTTTTGTTTTGTTGCAATCTAGCCACAGGGGTTGCAAGCCAGTGACTTCTTAGAAATAGGCCTAAAATTACTCAATATGGATTGATCCAAACGTGGTTTTTTGAGTAGAGGTTGCAAAACTGCATGCTTAAAATAACCAGGCACAACACCAGAAGACAAACTACTATTAATAATTTCCAAGACCGTGCCTCCAATAATTGTGAAGACTTCCTTAAATAAAGCCGGAGAAACAACGTCTCGAGGGGAGCCAGAAGCCTTGGCCTGGGCAACCACTCCCTCCAAAAAAGTCAGAGTTACCGGCTCAAAAATGTTGGGCCTATTCCCCTCTAAGATCCAAATGAATCAGCCCAAGCAGGAAAAGTCACTCTCTAGTTGAGTTGTGTGTAACTTATGTCAACAGTGAAGCCATTACTTCTGATATTATTAAAGATGTAAATTTCTTTCAAGGACCCACAAGCCATAAAAGTTGGGAACTAAAGAATTACAGTATAAGTAACTACTGCTTCACCACATTATTTTGAGTAAACAGACCTTATATTAGATGGCATAGAATCACAGAGGCAGAATGTTAAGGTCCAGAAGTGTTTAGCTTTAAAGATCCTGAGGCAATCTCTGCCATCTTTCACCTCTAATCTCAGACTGTGTACTGGTCATTTAGGTGTCACATTTAAATCCAGCCTGGATTATTCAGCTCATATTAACAACCTTGAACAACCATGCTTTTTAAGAAATATTTCTAAAGTCAGGCAGATTTATTCTCAAATGTGCTGATAAATGAATCGATGCATTGGTGTCTGGACTGTGATTCATTGGCTCAGAAATGCTGCAGTCCTCCTCCTAACAAAGACACACTCTCCTTCGCTGGGCTCTTCCTGGTAGCGCTCACTGGAGTTTACAGGTCAGAGTACAGTAAATAGTTGGTGTTACCTGCTTGTGCTCATATATTTAATTGAATTCTCTTAAAATGGAGAAGGACCCAGCATTTTCTGTATTGTCTCTAAATGCTGCGATAATGTGGCTCTCATTATTACAGTATCTAATACAGTTCTTTTTCTTAACTGAGGTGGAGAATGGGGTCACACTCAACCACAGCACAGTTTGAAGACCATTTGTTCAAATCTGTAAATAAAAAGTTTGAGGAAATCTGAAAAGACTGCGACTGTTCTGAATGAACATGAATGAAAGTGAAGCATAAAGATGACGAGAGTGACAGTTGTGTGGATGAACACAGGTGACAATGTGAGTGTATGTGCGGAGAGAGAGAGAGAGAGACCCCCGTCATTAACAACCTCTGAACTCCAGTGACAGTTTCTACCAACAGGTGGACCGGCCGGCTCCACTTTGATGACACTCCTAATGACGTGCACAGCTCCGCCTTCCTCTCGTTCACAACACACATACACACACAGACATTTACAACGGCAGCAGTCCGAGGTCAACGCTGTGTAGCAGTGGTGGCGGCGTCTCTCTGTGGGTCCAATTAGAACTGGTCAATATGCAAAGTATCCAAACAGTTCTGGCAACAAGCGCAGCTCAGGTGACACTGCACTTATACAGAGTAGTAGTTGATAAGATTGTACAAGTCAGATGTCACATAACTGACCAGTAAGACATCATACCCAGTCTTTAGACCAGCAATCAAGTCGGTCAAATGGTTTAAAAAGGTTTTTACCGTTTTCATTGTAGTCAGACAATACAAACTCCAGATGTGTTTACAACAACAATATGACTTCCTGTAGTTTTGGCTCTGTGAAAAGTCCAGATGGGACTGTTTTATTTCGAACAGGTTCAGGGCTCATCTGGGTGGCAGTTTTTGCTGGTATGTGATTTATTGCATAATATTTTGTCATTTGATTATTTTTTACAAAGCAGTTTGTGCTACTTTAGTGCAGGATCTTTTGTTAACCAAACTCTTTTCCAAATCTTTTCCAAGAGTAGCTGTGCTGGAGATCAACTTCTTCCATCCATCCATCTATTATCTGTACTGCTTACTCCTGAACAGGGTCATGGGGGGCTGGAGCCAATCCCAGCTGACATTGGACGAGAGGCGGGGGCCACCCTCGACAGGGCGCCAGT